AAAAAAAAAAGTGATGCTTTTTTTGCCGATTTGAACTTGGACGACGAGGATGTTGCCATTAAGTGTTTTTCTTGCCTATCTGAACTACGACGACGTTCATGTTGCCATGACGTGTTTTACCTGCCTATTTTGAACTAAAAGTGTGACACTGGAGCAGTTTCCTCTTTTTTTTTTTTTTTAAACAAACCCCCACCAGTGTTAGTGCTGCTGGTATGAGCAGTCACCACCAACACATGGAGGGAGATCCCACTACGCACGTGAGTGGAGTAGTGGACACGGTGTGTGACTCGAATGCACCGCGGATCGCCGTGTGTTTTTTTTCGTATTTAATGGGATGGGTATATATGTATTTCCGTGGCGCCCTATTGGTCGGTCTTGCTTCTTTTTTTGTTTTGAAGGTCCTAGAGGATTTGGCCGCTGGATTGATGTGATGTTGATTACTCATTGCTGTGCGACGTTCTTTGATTTACTTCTGCGTGCGTAACGGAGCTTGGATCTATTGGTGTATCGTGTATGCTCTGTTCTCATGCTTATGCTGTCTAGCCGGGCAGTTTCTTTCTTCTTCCTTCTTCCTAGAGGGGTCCCCGACGTGAGTGAAAATCATGACGTTTTTTTTGTTCTGATTTTCACGTACCTTCCACTTACCTTTTGGAGGGCGCCCTCGCAGGAAAGAAAAGCCAACAGCTAAAAGTTTTGGCCTTTGCCATTATGACGGGATATCAGTTCGTGTCAGACTGTGTGCGAATGCTGTCTGCAGTCGAAGCAGCGGTGCTTATTGGTCGGCTGGGGCGCCCGTCACTCAGACCCCCTTGGTTACCACAATTTTTCCCTTGGTTACCACAAGTTTTTAAAAGTTTTATGTTCACGGTCCACACGATATCGCCCGCACGTCGCACACCCGTCACACTACACCACATACCTCGATAGTGGGATCTCCCTCCTGGGGGAAGGCTCCGTCTATTGGTGGGGAGCGTCACCTGCTGGAAGAGGGGTCCAGCGTCCCATGTACAGAATATGTCCCATGCACCAAATATGTCTGAAAAACTGAGAGCTGTGATTATAAGACCTGCCAGCATTGATTACCCTGTAACCCAGGGGATTGACTGAGCAGGTATATAATTGAATTTCCTTTTTTTTTTTTTTTTTTTTTTTTTTTTTTTTTTTTTTTTTTTTTTATAGCCCTTGTGTAAACCTTCTATCCCGGCGGTGGTAAGAGAACCGTCAGGATTGAGGGTTTCTCTGTGGGGCTGCTCCATCTATTGGTGGGGAGCGGCACCTGCTGGAAACCGGGTCCAGCGTCCCATTGATACATCCTGTAACACAAAGATTGCTTGATATTTGTTGTTTTCCTGGGGCTATGGGCTTTTCTCTTCTCAGATCCGGGTCTCCGTTGTCCCATGGAGCTGCTAGTAACACCCTTCCCTTCTTAGAGCCCCCCTTGCCTTGTTCGCCCGGCCCTGTTCTGCAGCCCCCCGATGTTTGTTTACTCTACTTGGTCCCCTTAAACCCTATACCCTCTTCGACCTCATGCTCATGCCTTTCGTAATGATTGAAGCCTGGACTGTAAGCTGCAGGGCTCACCTTCGAAGAATGAGGTTGGCCGGGTGGATCTGCTATTGTGGCGCAGGTTACTTTGCCTGCTTGACAGCGTGCGGTGAGTGACAGTGAGCTCGGGACTCATTAGTCGCCCTCCCTAGCTAGAAACAGACAATAGCCTAATGTATGTGGTTCTTGTGTAGCAGGTATGATTGGGGTCATGTAATACAGGATCTTGTGGGATCTTGTCGGATCTTATGGTGCCTGTTCTGGCTTCCCTTCTGCTCCCCCTTGTCGCCTGTGGGGGGGTAGTCCTGTCGCAACTTGGTCATCTTTGCTCTGTTACGTGGTCTTGGCCGCGACAGAAGTCTGAAGCCAAAACTTATGTGATGCAGCGCTCTGTTGCTGTGTAGCTTGAGGATTTTCAGCCACTGTACTGAGCAGGCCGCCATCCACAATCTTTTTCCCCTGAGTTCTGACCTGGATCGTTGAGTTTCCTGTCTCTTTCCACGGACCCCATCTTTTCTTGCTGCCGATGAATGTCGCCCGATGTCTCTGCAATCTTGATGGTGGTGGCCTTTCATTGTCGTTGTAGGGGTAGGGACGCAGGGGGCTGGGGTGGGGTAGTAGTTGGAATTTCCGTTAGCATTGGGGGGGAAGGGGTTAAGGGCGTCGATGGTGGAGGTAGTGTTGGAGGGAGGGCGTCCCGAGCGAGGGGAGGGGTGATTGGGGCTGGGTTGATGGGCTTGACCTTGAGGACATTGATACCACCGATCCTTTGGTTTGGCCTGGCAGAGGGGTAGGAAAGCTGTGGGGCGGTCGGAAGGACCACTGGTCCTCCTGTGCTGTTCAGTTTTTCC